TGAGAATGTTGAAGCCTGTTGTTTGTAATATTGAAATAACCGTTTTTTACTACTTGCATATGAATATAAATACGGTACATAATACACCAAAATAACATATTTTACAATTTTTGTCCGTCTGTCTGTTTGTTCCGGCTAATCTCTGAAATGGCTGGACCGATTTTGACGGGACTTTTTTTGGCAGGTAGCTGATGTAATAAGGCTACTACCTAGTAACTTAGGCTACTTTTATTTTAGAAAAATAAAGTTAAAAACCACGTGGACGAAGTCGCGGGAACAGCTACTGTATAATATATTAGAGATACCTACGTGTTTTTTTATTGATGACTAGCTGTACACGGGATTTCGTCCGTGTGGAATTTAACTTTATTTTTCTAAAATATAAGAAGTTAAATTCCACGCGGTACAGCTAGTTGTCGGTAGTCTAGCGATTTAGCTAGCACACTGCTTTGATTCCTGCTTGGTGGTCGAGGGTTCGATTCCTCGCACGCTGCAAACATTTGTATTCGTGAGTAGGATTGTTTGTAACGGTCTGGGTGTTTTCTATGTATAGATAATATATATGTATTTACGAAAAAAATCTTTGTATTTATATCAGTTGTCTAGTACCCATAACATAATCTTCAGCTAGCTTAACTTGGGTCTAGATGAAGCTGTGTGAATTGTCCTGAGATTACTATTATTACTATAATAAATCTTTTCAAATCAGCCGATGTTTATTTTTGCCATAATACGTGCTGTTACCATGTGATAATATTACGTACGTACTTATTAAACTATTAACTTATTATTAAATTATTAACTATTATTATATTTATTATATATTATATATATATATATATATATATATATATATATATAAATATCCCCTTGGGCACTTTGTGGCTCAGACGTGCCGTATAGGTAGTTTTTTGTTGATCCTTTTTCACTTGTTGATCCGGAGGCCTTTTGTTGATCTAATGCCAGGTGACCATATATAAATGTTGATCCGTTTTGAGCCACAACTGTCACGACGAGTAATAATAATAATTAAGCGATTTATACACGATTTTATACAAATCCACCTTTTTGGCATACGAGCAGTTCTTGATCCAATTCAAACGGGCCAATCAGGGTGCAGCATTTGCCAAGGGCTTCCTCATTGGCACGTTTAGGCTACTACATTATGGCTACAGTAACTTAATAATGTCTAGCTAGTATTTCAAGAATAATAGTCTATCTAATCTAAATATTTATAGAAATCAGTCTGGAGTAACGTGACTCCAGATCAAACCTCAATACTTATTATTTTTTGGACGGGAATCTTTTCTTTTGTAACAAAGTTACTGAGCGAATAAAGAGAAGACGCAACGGCGGATCCAGGGGGGAGCGTCATGGAGGTCATGGGAGTCATGGGGGCGTCATGACTCTCCCCCCTTAGCCCAGGACTTAGGTAGACCACTAATTGAACTAAAAAATAATGAAACAGCAAATTTTTTTGCACGATCGGAGTGTTGGTGCAGTAGTATTAATTATAATTAAACATTGTTACTTAAAACATAACAGTTAAAGTACTATAACACTAAAAGCAAAATAGGTATTTTCAAAATACTTTTTCAAAATAAATTACCCTTTGAGTTTTTGTCCAAACCTCAGATATTTTATTTATTTTAGGTATATCAATCATTACATAGTATAGTATAAAACAAAGTCGCTGTCGCATCTAACAAGTACATAAATAAAGAAACAAGACTTTTTGGCTCTGAATATATTTCAAAAATCAATTACTTGTGTTAATCAATTTATATACTCGTTCTTATTTCATAGTACTTGTTTTGATCCGAATATATACAGATACCGTAACGGTCTATTAATTATGAATTTATTATACCTAACCTAGATATTTTATTTTGACGAAACTCCGTGTAGTAGTAGTATCCGATAAGGGTATGCGAACCCTAAGTATTATTTCAAAATGACCAGTAATTTCGAAGAAATAAGCCTTTGAATTTCAAATCAACTTACCAAACGGACGCTCAAGGTTCGATTCCCGCCACCGATTTTTTTTTGTTATTTTTTTTTTTGTCTTTATTCTAATTTTAAATTAACTATTTTAATAATTAAATGAATTTAATCGAACAAAACGTTGTTAAGTATTCAATTAATTTTAATTTACATTACCTATTGTACTTTCTAAATTGTAAAGCAGCTAACAATTATAGTAAGATCTTATAAATAACTAATACAACAAGTAAAATATTTTAAATGTATTTTCTTTATTATTACAAATATTTTTTATGCATAATATAATAGTTAATATCTAATAAATACATAATGATCTGATAATCAAATTATAAGTACAGTCTCAAATTGAAAGTAAGAAAAACAGAAAATATAGAGAGAACTATAGGGATATAACAGAAAGATGTGAAAAATGGAGAAGGACAGTAAAAAAGTTACAAATTTAAATAATGTTCCCGCAATTTCTGTTATATCCCTATAGTTCTCTCTATATTTTCTGTTTTTCTTACTTTCAATTTGAGACTGTACTTATAATTTGATTATCGGATCATTATTTATACATTTATGGGTTATATATTTATGTATGTATATTGTTATTTTTTTATAGAAATGTATATTTTGCTTTGTATTTATATATCTTTTTTTGACATTTCTTATTTATATTAGTGCACCGCCAATAATCTTTCGCTGCACCACTCATGGTTGCCTGGTAAATAACGCGGCAAGATATTAAGTCCGCCACATGTACAAATTTTTTTGTGCATTAAAGTTAAATAAATAAAAAAAATACAATACTGTTTAATGAAAATGCGTATTGTCTAGTGCTTTGAGATGTATCAAAATAAGGTCAACAAAAAAGTCCGTGATGGTATATGTCTATCTCTCAAGGATAACCAACAATAACCATTTTTTATCTTTTACATTTTACGGGAATTTTTTTTATCGAGTTTCCGATATTATGTCATAATCTAAAGAAATAATAATATTTTATAGTGAAATATCCACTATAAAATAGTAATGTAAGTAGCAATGTAATTCGTTACGCGCGAATCAGCTGTTATAAGGTCAAAGGTCGGTGCACCCCGCGTATTTGATAAATAGTGCTTCTCTGGATGTCTTTAAGAGAAAATGGCAGTATGTACGTGTATATGTACAAGTCCTTAAGTGTTAAGTTTTTCAAATGTACAATAAAGAATAAATATTTTTAAGTACAGTACTTACGTACATTAATATAATACCTACTTTTTACTTGTATCTATTGTCATCAAAATTAAATTATAAGTTCTTAACTTGACAACGACTATGTGACCCTCTCTTGGCGCCAAAACGAGTGAAAAAATGAACAGCATACAGGAGCAACTGCTTATTCAGTTTTATTCAACTATTTAATCCCTCCACCGTTACAATGAATGGAGGCGGATATTACAATGTATGTAGCATTGCGAATATAAAATATCTAGATTAGGTATAATAAATTCATAATTGATAGACCGTTACGGTATCAGAGCCAAAAAGTCTTCTTTCTTTATTTATGTACTGTTAGATGCGACATCGACTTTGTTTTATACTACACTATGTAATGATTGATATACCTATGTAAAATAAATAAAATATCTGAGGTTTGGACAAAAATTCAAAAGGTACTTTATTTTGAAAAAGTATTTTGAAAATACCTATTTTGCATTTAGTATTTGAAATACAAAACTATTTTTGTTTTTAGAGTGACATTTCTATGAATTCACTGTCGATAGCGAGCGGTGCGATGGAAAAAGATAACCGTTTATAAAAATATAATAAATAGCGCTGGACAATTAACACAGACTGATACTGAACTGATATAAATAGATATTTTTATCTTGTAAATACATATATAATATACATATAAAACACCCAGACCGATGAAATCAATCGATGACCGATGAGTACATATGTTTGCACCGTGCGAGAAATCGAACCCGCGACCATCGGATGTAAAGCGGTGTGACCACCGAGGCAGTCGAAATACATAAATAATCTTATAAATTTAATTTATTCTAATTTGTTTGTGTGCGCGGGGTGCGGTGTACGGTGCTCCCCCCTGCCTCCACCGTTGCTGGAGCTTGCATGTATGGAGCATTGCGAATATAAAATATCTAGATTAGTAAATTAATAAATTCGTAATTGATAGACCGTTACGGTATCTATATATATATTCGGATTAAAATAAGTATCGCAGTAAGGACCAGTATATAAAGTGATCAATACAATTAATTGATTTTTGAAATATATATACGGAGCCAAAAAGTCTTTGTGTATTCAAAAAATATCTAATTTGTTTGTGTGCGCGGGGTGCGGTGTACGGTGCTCCCCCTGCAACGGTGGAGTTACTATGTATGGAGCATTGCGAATATAAAATATCTACATTAGTAAATTAATAAATTCATAATTGATAGACCGTTACGGTATCTATATATATTCGGATGAAAATAAGTATCGCAGTAAGGACGAGTATATAAAGTGATCAACATAATTAATTGATTTTTGAAATATATTCAGAGCCAAAAAGTCTTTGTGTATACCAAAAATTTAGCCGTTCGGAGCCAGTCATGCACGAATTATTAGTAAAAAATGTGTCGAGTATATCGTACTATCGACGAATATATATGGCCACATCGCAAAATAGAATGCGACGTTGCCATACCGCCTGAGATATACGCGATAGGAGTCAAGTTATTCAGTGCAAAAGGTGGAATCGGCAAGTGTTTAGGTTGTGGCGTGATCAACAAAGTGCCCAAAGAGGTGTTTATATATATATATAATAATAATATTAGAAACGCGAAAGTTTGTAAGTATGGATGTTTGTTACTCTTTCACGCAAAAACTACTACGCGGATTTTGATGAAACTTTACAGTAATATAGCTTATACATCAGAATAACTCATAAGCTATATTTTATATTGAAATTTAATGCGGGTGAAATATCAGGCACAGATAGTACATATATATACTCGTTTTTCTAGACACCAGAATCTCCAACAAGTGAACCCGATGTACAGATGCAAAATACAGAGGAGCTGTCCAAAGAAATATCAGAAAAACTCCAAGAGTACGAGGAGAGCGAAGACAAGGATTATGATCAAGTCGATCAGCCCCAGGAACACGGGTTCAAGGTATGATATTCTTTTTTTTATTGTGATCAATTGCGGCAAATTTAGATAATATCTTATATATGTATTTTTTTAACTTATCGAATTGTGTATATTTTATCGAATTAATGCCGCAGGATAAAGCTAGTATGTTATAAAGAAAATATTAACTTATTTATATATTTTGACAGCCTCGGTGGTCTAGCGGTTTAGCACACCGCCTTACTTCTGATGGTCGCGGGTTCGATTTCTCGTACGGCACAAACATTTGTATTCTTGAGTATGATTGTTTGTATCGGCCTGGAAGTTTCCTATGTATAGTATGTGTGTATACACGAAAAAAAATCTATGTATTTGTATCAGTTATATAGTACCCATAACACAAGGTTTAGCTAGCTTAACTTGAGTCTAGATGGCGCTATGTGAATTGTCCTGAAATTATTATTGTTATTAACTTGCAGGTAAACATTGGTTCTTCCACGGATGAGGATATCCCACTGAAGTACTGCGCAAGGCTGCTCGCTTCAAAGTACTTATTGACTGGCAACAAGGGAGAGCTTATTCACGACAGGTATCTAGAGATACACAATCTACTTATGTACCACCCGTCTCTCTACTGTGTGCTTTCGGCGTCTGCTAACTTTGTCCGGCCATTTGGACCGTCGGAAACCAGATAATTTAGAAAAATATATATTAGTAAGCCACGTGGACGGAAGAAGGGGCAGAGGTAGGAGACCTGCACGATGGACTGATTCCTTTCGAGATGCCGTCAAGCGAAATATGCAGTTCGTGTTCCACTTGGCGTAGGATAGGGACGCCTGTCTCATTTTAAGAGAATAGTTTTTTTATTAATGATAATGTAATGGTGCACCCGTCTGCGCTGACGGTATACGCTAGCGAGGTAACAGTGGAGGATGATATAAGATGAGCATGAGGTCAGGTCAGTTGGAAAAAGTCAAGGTGACAAATTCACCATGAATTTATCACGATGGTTTCCAGAAGGAACCACATGGAGGTCAACATTGCTAGCAATTGGATTATAAGTCCACCTTACTAATAGTCCCCTTCCCTTACAGAACAGTGAGGGTGTCTGTAAAGGCATCAGCGCTCAGCTGTTTATCAGAGATCCTGCATCTGTATCCTCAGGTTGTTACTATGTACTTGGACAAAGATGCAGACATGAAGAATCATCAACACAACATATCAGGTGAGTATTATAAAGCATTGAAACATTAGATGTTATTTTGCAGAAGTCCAGTTATTTAATTATTTGATTTATATTATTTTAGCATGTGTAAAACCAAAAATAATCAGTGTGGAAAACTGACCACCGCTACTGGAATCGTTACGTTTTCTATTGGTGATCAAAATCCGACTGTTATTGAGTCTATATCATACTGCGACACGAGTTTCGCCTTCGCAGGCGTCATCAGGCAATGAATAGAGTTCGGATATTTTTTCTTAATTTATGTTTCCAGTTTCTTTATATTACCTAAAAACTAATGTTTAAATTTTTACGATTTTAGATTCTATAGTTTGTATTCAAATAAAATAATTATCATGTATAGTTTTAAATTAAATAGTAAATTGGGTATTATGTGTATGAATAATGACGATAAGTTACCACGTCGGAATGTTTCTAAACTATAATGCGCCGCTTACTAATCTGTTTGCCTTAGGGTTGATTGGTAGAGAACGCCCTTAGGTGTTAAGTGGACCATATGTACATTTATATATTGTATTTGTGCATTAAAGTTTAAATAAATAAATATAGTTTTGTTTGAAAATAGCATTAACCAACTTTTATTCTCAGTTAAATCTACATTCTGATTGTGACCATAAATAAAAAAACTTATTATTAAAAATGTCTTAAATTAATTTCAGGTTCTTCAGAGGGCACAGATATGCACCAAGAACATATAAATGATTTCATTTTAGAACGAAATGTTTGCTATCAGGACTCCTCAAGTGATTCCATGAGCCAAGACTTCCTAAACAGAAGTACGGATAGCCAGCAAACATCCAATTCTCAGCAAATATACAAAAAAGATAGTAAATCTCTAGAAAAATCCATAGACAGTGAGCAAAAGAGCTCAACTAAGGATGTGCCAAGCGCAATTCTCGATAGCAAATATGGCAAAAGCGATATGGGTATGAGCATAGATAGCACCAACCCTAATATGACTAATAGCAACTTTACAACTAATTCTAACCTAACTGGTAGTACTTGGTACCCAATGTCCAGTAGTGGTGATGTCTTATCATCAAGTGTTGATTTAGATATGAAGTTTGATCATTTCGGTGAATCACCAACTAATCTTGATAACTTAGATGCATTGAAAGATTTAGAAAAGAAAGAAGATAGGCCGAAGAGGCCATTGAGACGGACGTTTGCTAAAGTGGCCAAGGAGGATGATAAAGGGTTGAAAGTTGAGGAAATTGTGGAGAAAGACTTCATTTTTCAACACATGTCTGATGTTTTTGTGTTACTGGAGGGTCATAATGATCCCCAAATTAGGGGTTTAGTGCGGGTCTGTATCGGGAAGTATTTGAGTGCAGCGTTAGAACTATCGCACGGTGATTATCATAGATGGAGGAATTTCATTGTGTTACCCAAGGATGTAAGCAATAATATCAGCACTGAGAAGTTGGTTGGAATAGTATTGAAGGTAATTCAATGTTATTATTATTATTATTAAAGATTTTATCTATATATCTATCTATTATAATTTACTAAACTACCAGAGGTAGACTGTAAAAGATTGCCTGTGTCGTACCTCAGCCTTACTCATTTCAGCCACTTGTAAGTTTACACAAACTTTCACAGTATGTTAAAAAATGGTTATTGTATTGTATTATTAGTATTGTATTGAAGAACACTTGTAATATTTCTGACAATGCTTGAGACCCTTCCATTTCTCTACATCTCCACTAACATAGATTTAAGTTCAGTGTAAAACAGTTCGCATTACGACTCCGCATTACTAATAAGCTTTGTAGCACACTATATAATAAACTTACTTATACAATACTTAGTAACATCGATTGACTTTTTTAAATTTTTTAATAGATAGAGTGATTCAAGAGGAAGATTTATATATATAATACATGTACACCCGTGCGAAGCCGGGGCGAGTAGCTAATAACAATTATTTTACCGGTATACTCACTACTTAGATACTATATTAAACAAATAAATTAAATAGCGCCACCTCATAACATCATATATAACACTACAGTGGTGAGGATAACCATCGCTCTACATTTAATTTAATTATTTCAAATTGCAACTTTATTCCAGGGTCTTACAGACGATATTCATTCGACAGTTAACCACACTCTTTCGGCTTTGACCAACATGGCGGCCGCTCTGTGTGCAAGTATACACTGGTCTCTGATGATCGACGCATTGAACTCTCTGATCACGGTCGAGAGTAACGGCTACTGGTTGTGCAGAGTTAACCTGTGCAAGTTGTATGAGAAGCTGCCTTATCAGAGGTTAGTTAAAATCATCATCTTCATCATCATCGTCATCATCATCATCATCATCGTCATCATCATCATCATCATCGTCAACACCATCATCGTCGTTATCATCATCATCATCCGGTTCTTCCCACTTATTCTATTCTATTCTTGCTCGTTCTTCACGTGATGAGACAGCTTTCCGAATGAGCGGTAGATTAAAAAAATGATAACTACGACTATTCAAAAGTGTTTAAATTAAGTTTATTTGAATAAATGATTTTCTATTCTATTCTGTGTAAATACACAGAATAGAATAGAAAGATTATTCGGAGATTAGTGTATACAAATGTATACACTAATCTCCGAAAGACCTATAAGACCTAACTGATTTTGGATCAGGTGTATAATTATTTATTTAAATCTATTTTCAGATTATACATATTGTACTCAGGATATCACGTAAGGAGTAAGACTATTATGGACACGCTAATGCGATTGTTAGCCGATCAGGACCAGAAAGTGAGGAAAGCAGCGGCGCATAGTATAGTTGAGTAAGTATAGCTCACAGAGCAATTAACAGACTGCGTAAACGGCACAGATCTTAGAGAATTGAGGCAAAATTGAATCTACCTAACAATACTTACTTAATGTATGTAACACTAATGACGGTCACAATGCGGTTAACCATTCAAAAATTTAAGATCGACGCTCTTGGTGGAGGTCCTGCCACTTTCTATGATCTTCCACCATACTCTTTAGACCTTGATACGACACCGCTTTAATTCCGATGGTCGCGGGTTCGATTCCTCGCACGGTGCAAACATTTGTATTCATGAGCATGAAATGTAATAGTGTTTTTATTGATCGGAGTGTTTTTATACTACGGAAAATCGACCAATTACAATAAATAAAAATAGGCATTGCCAAAATATTTTTTTTTAATATGATTTGGCATGCCTATTTTGGCATGCCTATGCCTATATTTGGCAAAAAAAGGTATGACCATAGAGAACTCTTTGAACCTAGATCAAATAAATAGCTGGTACAAAATGCTGTATGATATTGAAGTTCGCTTTTTATACACTATTGGTGCGATATTGAATAAAAAATACATGGAGAAAAAATCTAGGATAGGACTAATTTAAATATTTTTGTTACAGAATAATACCAAAAATTTATCCGCCAAAACGTTCCACTCCTATCACAATGGTCACAGATATGGCTAAGGAACACAGCCAGAAGTTTATATTTGACAAGAACAAACTGTCCTTGGATCTAGTGCGTGATATGTACTTTTATAGCGATCTGCCGGACCAGCTGAGGTGTGGCGACGTGATCACCAATGAGGATAGCCTCAGGATTGTAATAGCTGACTTGCTGGCGAGGACTCTGTCGTCATCTTGTAAATTTTATACTGTAAGTATAAACTTAATGTAAATTTTATATAATAAGTATAAAATGCACCGGCTTCGCACTTGCGTTACAAATCTTTGAATTGTTCACCTTGTTCTATAACACGCATGTATTATACATATAAACCTTCATATTGAACCACTCTATCTATTGCTGAAAACTGCATGAAAATCTGGTCCGTAATTTAAAAGATATAACCAAACAGACAACGGCGACTTCGTTGTATACTATGTAGAGAAGTATGCCTACGTTCCGGATACGGCTACCTCTTCAAGGATCCAACTTATTTATAGAAATTGCTCACATTTTGGAAATGTCGGGATATTACTATAATAAATGTAATATATCCGCTGGTGGACGGGCTTTCATTAAATCGTATCTTACATCAAGCTGACTACAATGATGATCTTGTAATCTAGATTTAACTACAGCTCTCCAATCAATTCAATTGTCTGCCAATCTCGCCAGCTTCGAGGAGTCAATGTCACATTTTATAATTAAACTAGCTCTTACCCGCGGCTTCGCTCGCGTTAATTTATTCCCTTAGGGGTGGAATTTATCAACATCCTTTCTTAGGGGATGCCTACGTCATAGTAGTTATAATATTACGTACTACGTTATAGTAATTAGTAATACTTTATGCCTGAAAAGTCTTAGCCCGATCGGTTTAAAATTGACAAAGTTTCATACAAACTTTCATCCCCTATTTTATCCCCTTGGGGGTAAATTAATCAAAATCCTTTCTTAGCGGATGCCTACGTCATAACATCTACCTGCATGCCAAATTTCAGCCCGATCCGTCCAGTGGTTTGTGCGTCGATAGATCACTATGTCAGTCAGTCAGTCACCTTTGAGTTATACATATTTAGATAACGAATGAAATTGCTTCAGTGGTGCTGGAGTAACTTTTTACATACATACAAACTCACAAAAAATATATCTATATTTTTAGTGTAAATAAAACTTTTTTAAAAGTATATCTATTTGATGTAACACAACTATTCAGATTTATACCTACTTATAATCAACAGCAAGGTCTTCTCGAAACTCTCCAAGCGATATGCAAGAGATGGTCACCATGGAAACACATAGACGCGTACACCGAACAAGGTATACTCAGCTACTGTTTGGACAGTCTCGATTATTGCAACGGAACTGTTGTGGTCAGGACTGTATTGCTCGACTTGTGTGCTTTGGTGTACCCAGGTACGTATTTCTAATAATTTTTGGCTGTAAGCTAATTTCCAGGGCCGTAAAATTATATAATAAAAAAAAATCTAATAATATAAGGAGTACCGTACATTTCCGATAAGAGCCGGGCGGTCTGTGACTATAACGTCATTCGATTAGCGTATTGATTGTATTAACTATGTATTGTAACTAACATTGTGGCACAAGAATTTTTATATAATAATAAGACTAGCTGTTCCCGCGACTTCGTCCGCGTGGAATATATCTTTATTTTTATAAAATAAAAGTAGCCTAAGTTACTCCTTATTACATCAGCTACCTGCCAAAAAATGTCCCGTCAAAATCTGTCCTGCCATTTCAGAGATTAGCCGGAACAAACAGACCGACAGACAGACATAAATTATAAAAAATGATATTTTGGTATATGTACCGTATATATATTCATATACATGTAGTAAAAAACGGTTATTTCAATATTACAAACAGACACTCCAATTTTATTTATATCTATAGATAAATCATTCTAATTATTGGTTGATATCATTACAGTGGAAATCCACAATTTAATGAAACACAAGACGTCCAATCGTGATATATTTGAACGTGATTCCTCAAACGCTAGACAGAGATGGCAACACTTAGAGAGCGAGAAAGTCGGCAACCTCGCAGAGAAATTCCTACAAGTGACATTGAAGATGCTTAACGTATTGGTGCATTTGATAGAGGAAGTTAATCCCAATGTACATTTGAATAAGGGTGGAATCGCCTTACCCGGGAGTCCAGTAAGGAGGAAGACTCAAGGTAAGTAAGGTACACACTAGCGGTATCGTATTAATTACTTAAATTGCCGAAGTTTATTATTATTATCGATCGTTTCAGATTCGACGCCGCGAAAGGCGAGTAACGCCTCAGAAGTCACGGACGATAAAGGGTCATTAAGAAAGAAGGTGCCAGTTCCAGCGACGAGTTTGAAAGCCAATTTTGCGGGTCACTTTTATACTGAGCCGTTTTATATGAGATTTTACGAGACACTGCGCGCTACGTATTCTAATCATAAGGTAATATTACCTAGACTTTATAAAAAGAAATTATTTGTAAACGATTTTAAACTATTAATTTCTTAAATAAGAATTACACTGATGATGTACGAAAGGTTCGCTATTAAAATTTTGGAATAAATATGCATGGAAACGAAATATTCCGTCATGGTTCTGGTGTTTACTACATTGATTTACATTGAAATAGGTAGTGAGTTCAAATATGAATTTTTAATTTAAAAATTATTAAATATCTTTGTGTGACAATTTATACTACTGATGGATTCTCCGAGGGAATTGAATGATATCAAACAAAAAAATAATCTGAGAGTTTTTATATAAAGATGCATTTCTCACAGCTTCGGTGATTTAGCAGTTTAGCACAACACATTAGTTTCTAAGGGTCATAGGGACTATTCCTCGCACGGTGCACTAATTTGTATTCATGATGGTTTATATTAGAAAAAATCTTTCACAGATAAACTTAGATCCACGGAACAGTATGTTTCACGATTTTCTATCAACTGTGCTCAATACGTTAGCAATTCAATTAGAACTGGCCACCGAGAAGGAATTTGGACCAGTCACAGAAGAAATATTGTACTACCTCAAAGTACTAATGCCTCTCAGACCTGACACTACAGTATACTGTGTAACACAATTATTAAAATGTCTATTTGGTACCAACATGATAAGTCAATACTCAGATTTTATGAGTATAAACGATAAAAATGAGGCAAAAGACAAAAATAGCTTCTTCCATGATGTAATGTTGATTAATTCACTAAATACAGATAAAGGGTCTAGAAGGAGTAGTGGCAGTTCTAATGCTAGTCAGAAATTGGCTCTGGACAGCAAGAATCCAAGAATGATGGAAGAACGGCAATTGTTGATAGCTATGGAGAATTTCTCTAAAAATAAAATGGATAGAAAATGGAGTACGAATAAGAAGGAGTTGGAGAGGTATATAAGGTTGTTTGAACCTGTTGTTATACAAGCTCTGAAGGTGAGATTTTTATACCTAAGTTATGTTAGAAAAAAATATTTAATCTATGGCCTGTTTTTTAATACTGAAGACTAATTTGACATTACATATGTTGCCAGCTTTTGTAAATAAGTTTGTGTGATCGATGCATGGGTTGAATGACACACAATTTAAATGTATATTGTCTTTATGTCTGTATACTTTTCATAGCCGCGTGATACAAAAAATACAATGCGCGTACGTCGGGATGATGCAATATCTTTCTCTCACGTATTGTGTCTCGCTCCAGTGTTGCCAACCTTAACAGATGGCGAAAATGTTGACGCCACAGGTTTGTGGCAGTACTGGAAATTTAATTATCCATTTTTTTAGGTTACTCAGAAATAATGAGTGGGTATTTATTTATAACGCATTATTACAAATTTAATGAGCCTAAGGTACTAATAACAGTAGGTTTATTAAAGATTAAAAAACAGACTTATTAGTTCGAATAACTTTATTGTAGATCATACGTTAAGTATTGTTATTGTGTACAGAATATATGTATATTGTAAAGTATCCTATGTCCTACTCAAAGAGCGTACGATAGGTTATTATTAATATTATTAAACGGGTTTTAACACGAAGAATTTTATGGTTAATAAAGATATTTACCTTAGGTTGGTTACGTTGGTATGGTACGTCTAAGTTGGACTAGCCGTGGCCACGAGCTAAATATAAACACCTCTATTTACCAATCTTGAATCTTGGAGCTCTAGAAGTTCTCGCAGATAAATTCTTTGAAATTTTTAATAAATTTATTTTGTATTGTGACTATATAAAGGTTATTAAAAAACAGATAATATAAATTTGACTAAAAGTTATTGAAATATGATTCATAAATGTTATATTTAATTTCTTTTATTAGATTAATTTTTATACATTGCAATTTGAACTTTATTTACAGAGCTATACAATGCAAAACGACATACCACTACAATCCAAGGTACTCTGCTTACTGAACCAACTCCTCACTTTAAGAGTCAACTATTGTATGTTGGACAATGATCAGGTGTTCATCGGGTTTCTGATGAAGCAACTGGACTTAGTGGAACAACATGAGATACCGTAAGTTTATGCTATTTTCGACTGTAAAATGAAAGTATTAAGATCGAATGATGTAATACAAAAAGTTAAATTAGACATGTAATACAATTTTCAATGTAAAAAGAACGGAATCACGTTACGTCCCGGTGGTCTAGCGGGCCACACCGCGTTACTTGTGATTGTTGATTGGTTCGATTCCTTGCTGAATACAAACATTCATAAATGTGATTGTATTAATCTGTATATTTTATGTATGTGTTTACAAAAAAATGCAATTATATTTCTATCAGTTGCTTAGTAAGTACATATAAAAGTTTGCTTAGATTGAGGTTTGCTAGATGGCGCTGTGTGAATTGTCCTAGGTAAGTATAACTTCTCGGCTTTTAGGCTAAGAGCAAAGTATCTGTTCTTTTCAGCTTATTATCAATCAGCTTATATATGTTTTTGCGACAGGACTCCTGAAAAGAATAAGTAATAAGAATCAGTAGTATAATTATTAATGTATAATTAGAGTATTATAGGTAATGTACAATAAGTAGATAAAATAAAAGTAAAAATTAAAACATAATAGGGATACACATACAGGTGATAATGATAAGACATTGGCCAAAAGGATGTCACCAAGGTATTTTATTTGTATTAAAAAAAATCTATTTGAGTTTGTAGAAAAGTAATACAGACAGTTAGTTAAACCGGAATAAACCAGTCCGGTTCAGCTAAGTTAAGTCCGTCATATACACCTTTGTGTATTTGTACATTAATAAACAAATAAAATAAATATATTTTACAGTCTTTTGTATTATTATTATTTATTTATATTTGCAGGAACTGCTGCGACTTGGTGTACAATATACTTCTGTTTTTGGTACAATTGTCATCATCGAAACATCATACCAAGCAAATTATAGAGATTCCTAAGGTAGGAATAGTTTGGTGATTATTGCTAACCAAATGAATTTTTTTTCGCCTGTAGTAATCTTCTAGTAATTTTGACATTATTTATGTTTTTATCTCACATTATTATCTTATATATAAAATTCTCGTGTCACAGTTTTCGTTCCCATACTCCTCCGAAACGGCTTGACCGATTCTCATGAAATTTTGTGAGCGTATTGAGTAGGTCTGGGAATCGGCCAACATCTATTTTTCATCCACCTAAATGTTAGGGGTAGTCCACTCCTATTTTTTTTTTTTTATTTTAACGCAAAACAACGTTTGCCGGGACAGCTAGTATATATATATAAATATTGTTTTTCTTTAAAAGTAAATCTATAAATAATTGGTTGTAAAAAAAGCAATATTTTTGTATTAGCTGTGCCCGTAATTTCTTTATCATGGTACTCGGCATAAGAGTATTTTCTCTTTCTCTCTATATTTTTTTTATTTATACCAAGATCGTGGCAATCCAGCATACGGCCCAATTGATAGTAATAGGTTACCTTAGCCTATTTTTTTTAGTATCGTGCATACAGTCAGATGCATATACTGAAAGCTGTTAATTTAAAATTACAAACAGACACATAAATTTTATTTATTTGTATAAATATATTAAATATTTCAGCTAATTCAATTGTGTGATGGACTTATGGCTTCTGGTGCCCATTTGGAGTGCATCGCCGGACTGGAACCCGTGGCCGTAAAGGTGTTCAGCAGTATGGGAAGTAAGTCAAATAAAACAAAAACAGATATATCATCACGACTATTCGCAGATGGAGTAGTCAGAGGTAATGTCCAGTGTCGATGTTGTGGTGAACCTGACATTTGAACATCCCAGCTAGAAATGTACCATGTTAGGTTGATGTACACGCGGTTCCCCCTGAAACCATCGTGATACATTCCTTGTGAATTTGTCCTGATCGGCTAACTGACCGGATCTCATGCTCATCTTATCATCCTCCACTGGTGCCCCGCCAGCGAAATCCGTTAGCACAGTCGGGTGTACCATTCCATTAACATCTATAAAAAAACATGCCCACATTATCTAGATAAATTTTGTATGTAAAAATGTTTAAATACATTATTTCTATACAGTATTTCTGTCAGTAGTCTAGTACACATAACACAATTTTTCTGTAGCTTGAAAATAGATGGCGCTGTGTAAATTATCTCGTTTTACTATTAATGCACTCTGCTCTGTTTAGGTACCAGTGTGTTGGGCAGAATATACTTGAAATTGCCCACATTTGACGGCCTCGGTGGTCTACTGGTTTAGCACACCAGTTTACTTCCGATGGTCGCAGGTTCGATTCCTCAGACGGCACAAACATTTGCATTTATAAGTATGATTGTTTGTATCGGTCTAAGTGTTTTCTATCTATATTATGTATGTATTTACAAAATAAAATGTATCTAAGTATTCTATTAGCTGTCTAATACAGCTGCTTAGCTTGAGAATAGATGGCGTTGTGTAAATCCAGTTTCATTATTAATGCACTCTTCCCGGATTAGGTACCAGCGTGTTGGGCAGAACACAACAGCAGGAGGCGCAAGCAACCAGAGAAGTTCTATTCTACATGTTGCAGAAGACTATGCACCAGCATAAGGTTGGTATTTTTAAACTTTCGTGTTTAATATACATTATTTATATAGATATTTACCTCTCTCGACGTTTCGTACGTTAAATACGTTCATTAAACCTTTATTTGCCATAAAATTATTCGTGTTAAGACTTGGTTAATAATATAAATAATGTATAGGGTTGGTACTTCATGATTACGATGATATATACAAATGAAATGAAAAGTCATTTATTCATGGAGGACATTTTAGACACTTAGCTGTGCCTGCAGTTTCACTCACGTGAAATGTATAGCCTATATGTTATTCTGATGTATTAGCTATATTACTGTAAAGTTTCATCAAAATCCGTTCAGTAGTTTTTGCGTGAAAGAGTAACAAATAAATATCCACCCATACTCATAAACTATAATATTAATTAGCTGATCCCGCGACTTCGTCCGCGTGGAATTTAACTTTATTTTTCTAAAATAAAAGTAGCCTAAGTTACTCCTTATTACATCAGCTACCTGCCAAAAAAAGTTCCATTAAAATCGGTTCAGCCATTTCAGAGATTAGCCAGAACACACATACCGACAGACAAAAATTTAAAAAGTGATTTTTTGGTATATGTACCCTATTTATTTTCATATGCATGCAATAAAAAACGATTGTTTCAATATTAAACAAACAAACAAACAGACACTCCAATTTTATTTCTATGTTTGCAGTTATTTTAAAAACAAATGCAGTGTCAAATTATACAAATTATATTGTTTTTGGTTATATATCTGTCTCTTTCTTGCTCAGGTACTAGACTTAGTATCGTGCGTGCTATCTCTCTCACAAGAGCACCCAGAAAGTTATTACCGCTGGTCAGAGCTAGCCACAGATACTCTACTAAATCTCTTAACACAGAGAACTATAGAAATAGACTCTGCCGAGGCTATATCGTCTCTAGAAAGGTTACTGGACTCGATATATAAAGATGTTCTGTTGGAACCTTCTAGAGTGGAAGTCCTGATGAAAATACTGTTCAAGGCACCACCAGATCAGGTAAGATTTTGTTTTAATAAAATACAATTTAGTACAGCCAAAGCTTGAGTATGTTTTTGCGTTTGTAGTAATGTCGACAGGTAATGAAACCTAAATTAATTAAACTATCAATTACTTTAATAACATTGTAATAAATGAAGATCGTCTCAGTGATCTAGTGGTTTAACACACCGCTTAACTTTCGGTGCACGCGGGTTCCACATTGCTCGCGGGTAGGCACAAACATTCATAATCATGATTGTATCGGTCTGGGTGTTTTCTATGTGTAATATGTATGTATTTGTGAAAATAAATTATATTTAAGTATTTATATCAGTTCTCTCGTACCCATAACACAAGCTCTGCTTATATTGGGACTAGATGATGTTATGTGAATTGTCCAGGGGTGTTAGTTAGTAATCTTTATATATAAAATACCTAGCTTTAGCCCGCGGCTTCACTCGCGTTAATGTATCCCCTTAGGGGTGGAATTTATCAAAATCCTTTCTTAGCGGATGCCTACGTCGTAACATCTACCTGCATGCCAAATTTCAGCCCTATACGTCCAGTGGTATGGGATGGGCGTTGATAGATCACTATGGCAGTCAGTCACCTTCGTGTTATATATACCTTATTTAGATTACGTGTCACGTTGTTTGTCCGCGATGGACTCCTAAACTACTGACCGATTGCAAATTTGATTTGCACATTGTGTGCAATTTGATCCAACATAGTAGATAGGATAGTTTACATCTCAATTTAAAGTCGAAATATTCCAGATATTATTAATTATAGATATAATATTAATATAATATTCAAGAACCTTAGCTACAGCAACGCGTAGTCGGGTCTGCTAGTTCTTGATATCGAGAAAACGTGAAATCTTGAAATTAACGTATATTTTCCTCTTTTACAATAATATTTATTCCGAGATATAAAAAACGTTTTACTTAAGGCATATAAAATATGATTAATTTTGTGACGGTGGCAATAAAAAACACATAACTAATTGCTACAAATAATACGAGAATTGCCTCTAACAATCATGCAGGTGTTAACAATAGGGTATTATTATTAACTAGCTGTGCTCGCGTCTTCGTCTGTGTGAAATTTATCTTTATTTTACTAAAATAAAACAATTTTTCTAAAATAAATGTAGCCTAAGTTACTCATTATTATATCAACTACCTGCCAATAAAAGTCTCGTCCAAATCGGCCCAGCCATTACATAGATTAGCCGGAACAAACAGACAGACAAAAATAGTAAGAATGTTATTTTGGTGTTTATATTCAAATGCATGTAGTAAAAAACACACTCCAATATTTATATGTATATCTATACATTTCTAATATATCTTTCAGCTAACAACACCAACGAAGTCGAAACTCAGATATTTATCAATAATTATGGTATTACTAAGAAAGGTGCTCATACTAATACCGGAAAGTGAGATATTACTGACCATAAACTATTTGAAAGCGAGCAGTCTATCACCGCAATCAATATTCTTCAACGTAAAACCAGATGTCGATCCCCTGAATGTTCAGAATGTTAATGAGAACTGCGCGAACCTGTCGCCAGATGTCGTTCTAGTCAGATTGCTGTTCAAAACATTGACGTACGTGATAATTGAGATGGACGGATGCTATGATGGCTGTGACGGTGCTATATCCGACCTTCAGAAGACTGGTAATAAGGTCGAGAATGACAGATTGTTGTATTCGGTGTGCGTCAATATTATAGTACAAGTGAAACATATGCTGCATTTGACTAGTAAGTAATTTTGATGTCTGTCCGTCCCTATGTATGCTTAAATCTTTAAAACTACGCAACGGATTTTGAATTTTTTTAATAGATAGAGATTCCAGAGGACGCTATATATATATAAAACATGTATACCCGTTTGAATATTTCTTATTACTATAGTCTCTATATTTTTATATAGAAATAGAAATAATCTTTATTCAAATAAACTCATTACAAGCACTTTTGAATAGTCATATTTTGATTCTACCACTCATTCGGAATGCAGATTCATCACAAGAAGAATGAGCAAGAAACTTGTGTGTTGCTCTTTTTAATAGATGTTTTTTTTTTATATATAAATAATTACAGTATAACAAGTAAGAGGCATGCGATAATCAACATAGAAGTCGCTACGCACTCATTATTAATGTAATCAGATAATATTGTCAGTGCTATGGATTTAAAGTTTTTCTATAAAAACATTATTATCGTTAACGAATTCTTCAATTTTATAGTAAGCTTTTTTGCAAAGGATCTGTTTTATTTGACATTTAAATCTTTTTTCTGGCAGATTTATAACAGACTCTGGTATTTTATTGTAAAACCTTACGCAATTGCCATAAAACGAATTACTAACTTTAGCCAAACGACATTTAGGTAAAATCAGTTTGTTATTATATATATAGAAGCTAGAACCTAAGTGGTCTCGGACAGTGCGGTTTCAGAGGTGCTACCTCCCGCGTACACTTAGATTATGGAATGAACTACCTGCCGAGGTTTTCTCACAAGATTACAGCATTGTGTTTTTAAGAAGGGTATATTAAGGGTTCTTAAGGGTCGGCAACGCGCAAGTAACCCTTGGTGTTTCAGGCGTCCATAGGTTACGGTAACCATTTACCATCAGATTGGCCGTATGTTTGTTTGCCACCATAGTAGTTTAAAAAAATGGTATAAAACAAAGTCCCGCCGTTGTCTGTTTGCTTATATCTTTTAAATTATGCAACGGATTTCAATATAATTTTCAGCAATAGGTAGAGTGATTCAAGAGGAAGGTTTATATGTAATTAGCTTTTGCCCGCGGTTTCGCTCGCGTTAATACACTTAGTATGGTTCCAACCCAATATATGGTTCCAATGAGTCTGGTAGGATGAAGAACCAAGAAAACTGTCTGGCAATTTAGGAAACTCAGTTTAATAGTTCTCTCAATAATATTTATAAAGTTCAGCTTTATTAAAATGACGTAAGTTTATTTATAAAATAGTATAGTTTAGGGCGGTCCGGCGGGGGGTTGGAACCACACTAAGTGTCTGGCAATGAGCAGAACAAGTTATAATACTACTACGAACAATATATGAAAGTATGAAGTTTCTTAAAATAACGAATCTGATATGAAACTTTTTACACCTTTGTTACGTGTTACCTGCCAAAGGAACCACGATCCAGGTTTCATGATTGGGGATCGTTCTTACCTGTGTTGGGGACACACATACACGAACTTTCACGTTTACTAATAAGACGTATGTCTGGCCATCGTGGGCTCTTGCTCTATTTGAGTTATATATATTTAGATATACATGCGTGTTATAGTATAGAACAAGCCGAAAAATAAAAAGATTTGGTTCAAATTATATAAACGAGAACGATTAAATTATATAACATAATTTAACTATAGTAATAATATATTGAAATGCTGGAACTTAAGTAGTCTCGGACAGTGAGTTGTCAGAGAACTTCCGCGTACACTTAGATTGTAGAAGGTACGAGTACTACCTGCCTTAAATGCAACGGTGAATTACATTTAAGAGAGGTCGGTCAGCGGTCAGTGGTACTCAGACTCGATGCATTGCGACTAAATGTATATTGTTTTTATTTAGTTAAGTTAAGACTGATGATTTATTACGTTAGTATCAACATTTCTTGACTGGGGATTTTCAAGAAATATTAAGGCTTCTATGTAAAGAAATCGTTGGATTGTCCTGGATGTTTTTGGGGGAAACCTTTGTACAGCAGTGGACGTCTTCCGGGCTGAAATGATTAAGGTTTATGGATCAGCAATGTTTACCTGACACCCCTAGTGTTTCAGGCGTCCATAGACTACGGTAACCGTTTACCATCAGATGGGCCGTATGATTATTTGTCATCATGTTAGTATAAAAAAATCTATAATTTCAGATGGCTGCCTCTTCCCATTAACAGCAAAGACCGCTCAAACTATACTGCATAATGAACAGAGCGGTCTCAATACTGGTCTCTATAGCCCTGATGAGAATATCCCACTGGACCTGCTCAATCTGATCTGCCTGCGCTCAGCACACCGTATACCCCTGCTCACTGTTCACTGGTCGCATCTGTTGATCAGGTATGGTTATTAGCCATGTCGGCCTTGGTAGTGGAGCGATTTAGCACATCGACGGTCGCGGGTTCGGTTCCTCGGACAGTATAAACATTTGTATTAATCAGTAAGATTGATTGTCTGGGTGTTTTCTATATATATTAAGTATATACAATAGAAAAATGTATGTATGTATCTATGTGAGTTGTCTAGTACCCATAACACAAGCTTAGTGTGGGACTAGATGGCGCTGTGTTAATTGTCGTGAGATATTATTATTATGATGCTATCTTATTGTATAAGGCATTTTTTTTTACGATGATAATGGAATGGTGCTCTCGCCTGCGCTAACGGTTTACGCTGGCGGGGCACCAGTGGAGGATGATAAGATGAGCATGAGGTCAGGTCAGTTAGCCCATCGTGACAAATTCACCAAAATTTATCCCGATGGTTTCCATGGGGAACCGCGTGGAAGTCAACCTGACATGGTACATTGCTAGCAATAAGATCATCAGTCCACATTACTAACAATCCTCTTTCCTCCTTGTATAAGGCAATTACTAACTATTCTCATTTTAAAATCAACGGCGAGAGAGGTCAATATCTTTATTAACCTATTAAACACTAAATTTTCAAATAACTAATATTATAAATGCAGAAATATGTCTGTCTTTCTATTTTACGACTGAACGGAACTGAATAAAGTTTGACGTGAACATAGATTGTATCACTAGTACCTACATACATAGCCTATTTTTAATTAAAATTAAAACAAACTATGTCGGGGGATTCAGCTATATTGTACAAATTTATTGCAGGCTGAACTTCTTAACTCACAAGTTCTGGCAGAAACTAATAGGTTTCGCCCGCAATCTGCCTCTTAGAGCAGACAGCGCCGACAAGCAGCTACTACGGGTCGATATATTACAGATAGCTTGCGTGATGGCCTACTGTGAATATTTTGTAAGTTACATATAATTTTTAGAATAGAATAGAATAGAAAATCATTTATTCAAATGAACTTACTTTGAAGCACTTTTGAATAGTCATCACATTTTTTCAATCTACCGCTCATTCAGAAAGCTGTCTCATCACAAGAAGAATGAGCAAGAAACTTGCGTGTTGCAGAATTTTAATTACTCTCTTAACACATACATACAAGCATCTGAAATAAAGGATAGCTTCGGTAGTGTAGCGGTTAAGTACGCCGGCTTACTTCAGATGGTTGCGGGTGCGATTCTTTGTACGGTACAAACATTTGTATTTACGAATATAATTGTTCGTATTGATTTGAGTGTTTCCTATATACATAGGATACATACGTATTTACAAAAATAACATAACGTATTTAACACGTTGACGTTGACGTTGATGCGGTCTGCGTTGAAAAATCTTAAAAACTGCTGAACGGATTTTGATGAAACTTTACAGTAATATAGCTTCTGCATCGGAATAAAACATAGCTATATTTTTGAAATTTACCGCGGGGGAAATCTCGGGCACATGTAGTATATAATAATCAAATATATTTATGTATAACAGGTAGACAATGGATTATCAGAAGTGGTGCACCTGACCTGGCTCCTAGTCAATCGAGGTCATATCCTCATCAGCCAGTACCAGGAGAGTGTGGTGCATAGTCTAATAACCAAGGTACAACAGACGGATAGTGCATCAGGGCTGTTCCTTCAAGCTGTAGCTGCAAGATGCCAGAATTTTTTGAAGGTATATTTTATTTCAGCATCGGTGATATACCGGTTTAGCCTTACTTACGATGGTCGCAAGTTCGATTCCTCGCACGTTACAAACATTTATGATATATAAATGTGAAATGATAGCCGAGTTCAATATGATATATAATCTCAGGACAATTCACACAGCGCCATCTAGTCCCAAGTTAAGCTATCTAAAGCTTGTGTTATGGGTACTAGATAACTGATACAATTACATAGATATTTTTTTTTTCCTAAATACATACATATCATAGAAAACACCCAGACCGATACAAACAATCATACTCATGAATACAAATGTTTGTGCCGTGCGAGGAATCGAACCCGCGACCATCAGACGTAAAGCGATGTGCTAGACCGCTAGACCACCGAGGTCGTCAAATATCAAAATATTCTTGAATATCAATGCCACGCTCAACCACTCCACCAAAGGGGGAAAGGGGATTGTTAGTAATATGGATTGATTATTTTATTGCTAGCAATGTACCATGTCAGGTTGACCTTCACGCGGTCCCTGGAACCCATCGTGACAATTTTTTGGTGAATTTGTCACGATGGGCTAACTGACCTGACCTCATGCTCATCTTATCATCCTCCACTGGCGCCCCGCCAGCGTTAACCGTTAGCGCAGGCGGTTGCACCATTCCATTATCATTAAAAAAAACCACTCCACCGAATCATCTTCAAAGCAATGGTATTTCCGAACTCATACGATATTGAAATATTAAAGAAAAGAGCTTATTCCTTTTTAAAAGGCCGACGACGTACTTGCAATTCCCCTGGTGTTGCGGGTGCTCATGGGGAATCACTCACCATCAGTTGAGCCGTATGCTCGTTTGTCCCCTGTGTTATAATAATATTTATAATCAGACTTATGACAATGTATGTGACTTATGACTTCTGTGTATGTTATGTCTACATTTACTCATAATTCTTGGTACATCCACTTAGGCTTCTACCTCTCTATAAAAATATTAAAGTAAGTGTAGAAATAGTTTTACTCCTTTAATATTTTTAATATAATTAATGTCTTGTTTTCAGGATGAGTTTGCACTGAACGCATATAAAATATTGTCATTGTGCCACGAAAGTCAGTCTGGCGCTTTGATATTCTTTATATGCCGGATTATTGGTAAACAGGAGCCAGCACTAGCTGTGAGGTAAGAATATAACACATTTGTTATACATTTTAACTGTGTTTTAGGAAATATTCATTAATAACTACTGGTAGCCTATTGGGCGAAATTCGACAATAATCAATTTAAATTATAACCTTGAACTTTAAGGTTCTATTGTTAAAACCTATCTTAATCTTATCTTAATAATATTATAAACGCGATAGTTTGTAAGTATGGATGTTTGTTACTCTTTCACGCAAAAACTACTGAACGGATTTTGATGAAACTTTACAATAGGTCATATAGCGTATGCATCAGAATAACATATAGGCAATATTTTTTATTGAAATTTAATGCAGGTACAACTAGTACTTCTATAATCACTGTCAGTCGCGCAGGCAATAAACAAAAGAATATATATGCGTATGTCAAATACATGGTATTTTTATTGATTTGATTTCATTTGTTTCTTATGCATAATTAAAAAAATATTAGTATTCTGCACTCCTTCTCTATAAGTGTGCGAAATTTTATACTTGTCAAATAAGGGGTACAAAGTTTTTACTCCACATGTTAATTCATTTCTCTAGTACATTCCTGCACCACCTACCATTTTATGTCTCCTCTACTCTACCCAAGGGTTATATGGAAGAGATTACTCACGCGATAAGACCGCCTTATGTACCTTATTACTTCTGTTTATATTCTTTGTAATATACCTCTGGTGCAATAAGAGTAAATAAAAAATATTTTGTTATTTTTTTTAGATTCGCTAAATTGGCTATAGACAGATGTTGGATGCTGAAAGAGATGAATGAGGAGAAAATAAACGAACAGTTGTCTAAGGAGGACGTTCAGATTGCGCTCGAGATGCTGCAACGAGATCAGGCGCATGTACGGTAAGTGTAAAGTTATAATAATAGTACCTCTGAATAATTCACACAACTCTATCTAAGCAGAGCTTGTGTTATGGGTACTAGACAACTGATGTAAATGCTTAATTTTTTTTTGTAAATAAATACATAATATATATAGAAAACATCCAAAACTATACAAGCAATCATACAAATGTTTGCATAAAGCGAAGAATCAAACCCGTTACATTTTTTTTAAAACCTGCTTCGGACTGCATGGAGCTGTTGTGGATAATCATCGTTATTATTACGTTTAAAAAAATTGTTTCAGGCATTATTTATATGTGAACGTACATACGTAATAATGTTACCACGTTTTCTTAGTTTTTATTAAGTTCCTTATATAAATAAAAAAGGAATATAACGTGTATTCAGTAGCTTTTTTTTTATATTATTTATTTATTAGCATATAAAACAGATTATAATCAATATAATAATATAATTAGGAGTATGTAGTTCAGTACAAAACTGGATTGTAATGCAACACTATGTATGCCTAAGAGCTAAATTATATAGACGCATTCAATATACGCTAGATAGCTAGATAAGGTTATATAATAAAAAGTAAAATAAATAGAAAATGATATATAACTACGTAATGCAATGAATTATCATGTTAACAGAATTTTATTTAATTTAAAGAAAAACAAATTGGTACAATTTATATATATAAATAAAATTGGAGTGCCTATTGTAATATTGAAATAACAGTTTTTTACTGCATGCATATACTTAATAAATACGGTACATACACCAAAATAACATTTTTTAAATTATCGTCTGTCTGTCTGTTTGTTCCTGCTAATCTCTGAAATGGGTGGGCCGATTTTAACGGGACTTTTTTGCCAGGTAGCTAATGTAATAAGTAGTAACTTAGGCTACCTTTATTTTAGAAAAATTATTTTATTTTAGAAAAATAAAGTATAATTCCACGCGGACGAAGTCACGGGTATAGCTAGTATTAAATATAATTTGTCTCTTTACGGTGGAAATTTAATTTAATTATGTATTTATGTTATAAATATTCTTCTACAGCTACCCATCACTAGTTATGGAACTAAATTCTCTTGCGTCGACATTTTTCGCACTTTCTCCACTGGACTTGTCGCAAGATCGTGCTATTAACCCGCAGTACATCTCCACGACAAGTGTCGATGCCAACTGGCTAGCGAATCTGGTGAAAAGCAGGTAATTTTTTACTCTGTACTCTATTACTGTACGTACAGTTATTAATATTTTATTAGTTAAAATTATAGTGTTACGTCACATCAATATCGGTAATATTTACCCCTATCACCTGTCACAGCTAATCACGTTGATAGTAGCAATTTCAGAAATTTTTAGCTACCCCTACCATCTGTCTGTGACAGGTGACTTGTCACATTTTGTTTGAGTAAGAAAACCATGAAATATACCTATATTTCATGGTTTTCTTACTCAAACAAAATCTATATCCAAGGATATATATATATCCTTGGAACCTTCCAAGGATACCTATATTTCATGGTTTTCTTGCTCGAACCTTGTAATTTCTACGACTCCTTGTTATATATATAAGGGTAAATAATACCTTTATTTACCATTAAATTTTTAAAACCCGAATATCTGTATTAATAATGTGTACTAAACGCGAATGATATACAGATGCTGCCAAAAAGATCCTACAACCCGCAAGCTGACCAATCAAAACGAGCTCGCACTTCTTATGTGGAATCTGTCTGAAGAAGAACTGACAACTGTCACGTCGTGTCCCGAGTTTGACAGGAAAATACTAAGTCCCTGCTTCAAGATATCCACAGATAATTATATTAGGGAGTTCCTAAACGTTGTCTCTGTTCATGAGTCGAAGGAGATAGAGAAAGATCGCATGAAGGAACACCGAGAGGCGATGAAAATAAAAGAGGATGTGACGACCTCAATCGATAGCAACAAACTCAATGTTGCGAACACGTTGCACGTATTCAAGAAGAGCGATAGCAAAGAGTCGAAATCGCAGTTCTTCATACCAATTAGAGATAACGAGAATGCGAAAGAGAACTTTGGCCATCTGGAGTTGACAGAAGAAGAGACAGAGTTGATATTACCAGAGCTGTCGGGATTATACCGAGCGGCTGTCGCGACTTTTGACAAGTGTTTGACAGATGTCATCAGGTTGTTCCCGAAACAAAACCGTCCGTTGAGCCAATCGGAGAATTTCAATTTGAACGTAGAACAATCTATAGACAGGTACACGCGTAGATGTCATCAGGTGTTTCAAGACAAACTGTTCTATCAGGAGTATATCACATTGCACACGATTCTGACTGGTTACCTCGACGCTCTGCGTCGATTAATCGGCACAATCGACGAAATCGATTGTGATTTACTGGACAAGTCTATCGATAACATTCTACCGGGTAGTTTGGCGAAAAATATAGCGATATTCTCAGTAATGTCTCTCCAGTATTTGTCGTTTTTGATAAAAAACAAGCAGATTGTTGAGAGTCCGATAAACAATGACGTATCGTTTCGAACTCCGGATGTAACAGAAAATATTGTGATAGACAATGTAATATTGATAACAGTGGATAATGTTGCGAAGGCGTTGAGCTTTCAAGAGGTATGGACAGAATTGAACATGAGCAATATGAATAAAACTCAGTCCACGATAAGCTGTCTGTATGCAGTTGTGAAATATTTAGTGAAGGTAACATTCTTAACTTCTTTCTTTGGTCTTTATAATATAAGTTTAAATAATAGTTAAAATTGGTGCTAGTCGTAGTTTGTATTTGCATATTTAAACTTAAATGTAATAATAATAATAATAATAAATCCATTTATTGCCAATATCAGTATTCGATGGTCCGCGTGGAGGACATCTAGTCTACTAATAGGGTCATTAGTCATTACTATCCCTTCCATTTACGAGGAAGGTGTGTAAAAAGTATAATAGTTTTTTCGATCAGCAAGATTCGAACTTTCTTTTCTCTTTATTTATTTAGGAACTTAGGATCACTATAGTGCGCAGGTTAACTGCATTTTAGTTTTTAAATGAATTACGTACCTACATATTTTATATATTACAAACTTTAGAGGCCCTAGTCGGGACAGACCAGTAGACGAAGCTCTCGTTTCTAAATACTATAATTTAAAATCATAAAGTTACACATTTATACATATTTAATATGATTGGCAATAGGTACAAACTCAGCTATTGCTGGACTGATGGGCGTCCAGCGCTGGTTTTCAGTTTGTACCTACGCAGCCGTACCTAATCACACGTGCTAGATAACCATACCACAACATAATGAAATAAAAATTTAACAAATTAATACATAAATAATAATAATATCCACACGGATACACACGTGACATGCATGCAACGCATGTGTATCTACACAAAAAAAATCGCATTTTATGTCCAGATTTGTCGCCACTATCCAAGGGCTGTCGCTGTCTATCTAATATAATTTTCCTTAAAGAATTTTTAAATTTTAGCGGTATTAAATAAATATTATAATATATATAACGGTATTCAGTAAATGTAAAGTTACAACAATTATTTAAAAAAAAATGTAAAGTTACAACAATTATTTAAAAGAGCCTGTTGCTCTTTCTCGTTCATCGTTCTTGTGATGAGACAGCTTTCTGAATGAGCGATAGATTAAAAAATATGGCTATTCAAAATTCGACTATATCTCAACGGATAAGATGAAACTTTTCAGTAATACAGCTTATGATACATCAGAATAACACATAGGGTATATTTTATATTGAAATTTAACGCTGGTCAAATCGCGGACACAGCTAGTAGTACATATATTTATATGAAGATATACTATTTTGTCACCAGGATTCGAAGCCCCTAGTGTTGAATCATTACATTCAAACCCAAGACACCGGTCCAACCTCTGATATGATTGTAATCGGGAATAAGTTGGTCACTCTCATTGGTTATTGGGAGCAGAATTTCTATACGAAACCAAGCAGCGTCATGGGAAAGTGTTATGTCAAACATATTGAGAGATTACTTGTGAGTTTGTCTCGGTAAGTCTTCACATGTCTTCTATTTCTTAATAATAACTTCTAACCCTAGACAATTCTCTCAAAATCGGTACAGTAGTTTGGGAGACACTATGCCATAGACACGCTAAACTTACTTAACACCGTATTCTTTATTTATATTAAACACAAAAGGGTTATAAAGAACTACCGTTCTCTTTGTGTTGGGGTTTAAAAATATTGTCTTGTCTTATTGTCTATCTTGTCCAAAAAAAAAACAACAAAAAATTCCGAGCAAAGCTCTGTCATCCAGGTGCAGTGTATATTACTTACAACGATTATTTAAAAGAGCAACACACAAGTTTCTTGCTCATTCTTCTTGTGATGAGACAGCTCTCCGAACGAGTGGTAGATAAAAAACAAATTGTTATGACTATTCAAAAGTGCTTAAATTAAGTTTATTTGAATAAATTATTTTCTATTCTATTCTTTTCTATTCTGTTAAATAAAAAAATCATTTTTTAGCCTCGATATAGTCAGCAACATAGCCTTAATTCCGCCAATAGCCTGGTCATCAGTAGAAGTTTCATCGAAGAAGGAGTTACCTTTGAAGATTGATCTACCCCTCCAAGCATTGCAGGATATGGATATATTGGAAGCATTTCTATTCAGGTAATTTAAAACTATTTAACAATCCTTTAAATTTGTTGATATATTCACACCAGTCGGAGACTTCTAACAAAGTTGCTTAGATACCTTACTTTACTGTCTTCAGATCTGATGGTTTAGATTTGACAGTTAAATTACAGGGTAATAGGTGTATGATATCCTAGTCCCTCGGAATGGCAACATTAGGCGTATCATGGGTTTTACATGATCACGTTCTGTCTGCTGTACTGTTTATTTATTTATTTATTTATTTATGTCAGGCTATTAGGCCCGTATTATAAATACCTTATAGACTAACATACGTATTAAAAAATATTATTAAATTAATGTATTGAAATTGTCTGTGTTTATATATATATATATATATATAAGCGACGGTTGCCACTTAACATCTAGTGTAGGCCCAATAGCTTGTTGGGCAAACTATTTGGAAAAAAATTAAAAAAAAAAAATTGTTTTGTTATATATATACACTGTCTGCAGTTTTTCCCTGAACGTCCCTATGGTTGCGGGTAAAAAAGCCCCTCCGATCGATCTCCCGTTCAATTCAAACGGGGATCGAAATTACGACGACCCGAGCCGAGTTTCAGTCCGGCATGAGTTGACTTTCCGGCGCTCCATAAGTCCTTCCGCGGGTTTAGAGAGCCATTTGCACCCGTCCTCTATCGTTCGGTGAAATTGTAAAGGCCAGTTGCAGTCAACACCATTAGTATAGTTCGAAGAAGAAATGGTAGAAAATACGGTAATATTGTGTAAATTAAAGTTATATGAATAAATAATGTCCGTTTAAATTTATAGAGTAAACCTAATTGGATGGTCATCCAAAAAGCAGTTCGAAGAAATATGGGTAGGTCTTCTTGGTGCATTACAAGGCAACGGAACTCACTGGGCGATACGGGGCATTACTGAGTTGCTCATCAGTACTATACCCAAAGTACGCACTAAGGGGATATTACACGTACCCAGATCGCGGGTACATGTCAGTAATGGGTACGTATTTAAGTAGTAAATAGTACATTTATGTATTACATAATGCATTTATGTAGTACATAGTGCTTTTATGTAGTATATAGTATATTTAAGTAGTACATGGTACATTTATGTATTACATAATGCATTTATGTAGCACATAGTACATTTAAGTAGTACATAGTTCATTTAGGTGGTAGCTCGTACCTCTCTGCCACATGATGGACACGGCATCTACATGTTGTATCCATGGAATGCTAAGAAGTTTGCCTCTCTAACTTGACAGAAGACTGTATACATTCTTAGAATGGAAGAGAAAGCATGACGAAAGGTGATCTGTTACGAATGAATAGAGTAGAAGAAAAATGTCAGAATGGTATTATTTGAAATTAAGATAGAGACGCATAAAACAGCATACCGTCATGACATTATATTGAATATTATAATATTATTAGTACCGCCAACAACTTATTTATTTATTTTTTATTTAAATAACTTTAATGCACGTCATACACAGGTAAAAAGTACATATGGCGGACTTAACACTTAGTGGTATTTTCTACCAGTCAACCATGAGTTGTGCAGAGATAAGTTGCTGGCGGTGCAAACAATATTATAATAACTTATCTCTGCACAAATCATGGTTGATTGGTAGAAAATACCACTAAGTGTTAAGTCCGCCATATGTACTTTTTACTTATGTATGACGTGCATTAAAGTTATATAAATAAAACTAAATCAACATTTATAGTTAGTACTAGATGGCGCTGTGTGAATTGTCCTGAGATATTATTATTTTAGGATGCAAATACTTCGCAATATAGTCGCCGGCACGTCTGCGTACAAGTTGTTCGAATGCGTAAACTTAGAACGCATACCGCTGCAGAGCGACGGTCTCGAAGGTTACCACTACCCGCAGTTCAACGCTGAATACTTAAAGTTAGCTTCTGGTATGTATAATCATCATCATCACTATAATAATGCACCATCATCGTCATCGTCGTCATCATCACCCTCATCATCATCATCACCCTCGTCATTATCATCATCATTATGCACCATCAAGTATATTTTTATTAATTAGTGGTCGCCCAATAGTCAAAATTTGTTCAAAGATCTGACCAGTAGTAACAATTAAACAAAATATATCGGTGTGTGTGTGTCTTTCTTTTTCTTTCTTTCTTTCTTTCTTTCTTTCAAATACATGAATATTTTATTAATTAAAATAATATATAATTTAGAAGTAAATAGATTTAATGTTAAAGTTAACACATTTGTGGTACATAGTCTTAGTACTTCTATTTCTTTTAAAGATATAGTCGATGGGGGCTCATACAAAGTTCGTCAAGAAATGAAACGCATAAAGAAGAACAGAGAAGTGGATGTGAATAGCTGTCTACAGATCCTGATGGATGTCACCACACAGATGTTGGACCCGAAGGTAATAAATTATATCATACATTAATAATCACAATACAACAATTGTATGGTCTTCAAGAATACCTTGTTTTATGACAAACTGAATATTCAACATTTAAAACACAATCTATCTCTATATTTAGGAATCAGATCGTTCTACATTTATAACTGAATATTGATCGTTTAAATTAAAACAAAATCCATCGTTATATTTAGAAATCAGACGGTTCTAAATTTAAAAATAATTCAACATATTTTTAATTCATTTCTCTATGTACTTGTCTCATCTTTATTCTAAATTTAAAAATATTTTTTGATTCATAAAATGTAAGATAAAATGTTTGTTTTTTCTTTTGAATAGAAAACAACATAATTGTATTATTATTGATATATGTAGTATATATTTACTATACATATATATAACTTAATGCTGTGTAACATCTACGGCTTGCATTTGATGCGGGCTGGTGATGTTGGTGTTGGATTTAGACATTGCTTATCTAGTGCTGTGAGGGTATTTGTATATCAGGTTGACGTCTATTTTGGATTTTGTTGCGGCGATTTCAGTATGGTGTTTAGCGTTATGCCGTTGATTTTATAGATAGCAGTGCTGAGTGGGTAGCGTGGTGGTGGTGATTACAATGCTGATATTGGTGGTGGTGCTTAAGGAGGCGGTGTTTGTGGTGTTGGTGGTGGTAGAGATATTGGCATTGATGGAGATGGTGATATTAGTAGCCGGTGGTAATGGTGATGTTGGCGATGATGTTGGTTTTTGGTTTTTAATAACGGTTACAAGGTAAAAGTCACAGGCGGGTGCGGTGGTGGTGTAGATGGTGTCGATGGTAACGGTGATGGTGGTGGTGTCACGTGATACCGGCGATGGCGTAGGCGGTGCTGGTGGCGGTGGTGGTGTGTCACGTGGTCGTGTTGCAGGCGGGGGCGGGCGCGGCGGCGCGCGTGGTGCTGGTGGCGGGCGTGCCGCACGCCGGCGCGGCGTTCTCTGAGGCGGGCCAGTGGTGCTGGGCGGGCGGGGTGCTGCTGTGGCTGGCGGCGGACCCCCACGCGGCGCTCACCCAGTACTCGGCGGCGGCGCGCGCGCTGCTGCTCGCGCTCTCCACCTGCCTCTGCGTGCTGGACGGCGTCGAGGGGCTCCAGGTATGGCACGTTTGCTACACAAATTCCTAGACCGCACTGACGTTTCCCATCCTATCGATCTCCTATCTCATTCGAACTGGCATCGAAGTTACGAAGACCAAAGCCTCAAAGGTCGACTTCGGCTTTGGCTCGAAGGACACCTATCGGTGTCCTCAGACTAAAGTGGTATCCCTCGGTTAGAGATTGGCCTTCAGCTCCGTAAGTTCATAATGTGGCGTCTGCACTCGTTTCCATTTTTTTATAGTACGATGATGCCAAACCAGTATACGTCCGATTTGATTGTGAACACGCCCTAAAATACATAACACATGTAAAAAACAACCCGAGCGATACAAAGAATCACTCTCTCTCTCTACTCATAAATACAAACGTTTGTATTGTGCTAAAATCCAATTTTCGGTCGTTAGAAGTACATGGGAAACTGCATACTACACCACTAAAGTATATATTCCCACAAAATTCCTAAAAAAAGTATTTCTGTACAATATTTTTTAAAAGAGCAACAATTAAAGTATCAGCTTCTTCTTGTTATGAACTTGCGTTCCGAATGATATTCTATTATTTTTATAATAATAATAATAATAATAATTTATTCTGCATCATAGTACAAAGTAAAAATATGAAAAACATAAAAAAAAAAGATATCGCTATGAGCTGAAAGGGTCTCCACTCAGCTGGTGCCGCAGTGTGTCACTGCAGCGCTGTTTATCAGTGGAGCCACTCGAAAAAACGAAATAGCATTCTTGATGATGTATTATTGACTTATAATATATATTAAGTTTGTTTGAATAAATCCTCCAGGAATTGTCAACGGTGCATCAAAAACTGTTGAAATCATTAACATCGAGTTACGCGCCGCTACGGCAGGCTGCACTCCAGGGTTGTCTCCTACAATTGAGCAGTAAACCGGCGGTCGCGCCGCCTGGAGTACCGAATCCATTTCAAGAATTGGTCACCAAACTGAACGTTGTTGTTGTGAGGCATTACTTGCTTCCGAATAACGAGTAAGTCTTTTGTATATTTTATCGAGTTATGTGTTATTTTGGGGAAGTCTATTTAATTACTTTACTGCTAATTCTTCTTCTTTTTGTCGATTTCTCAAGACCGAGGGTTGTGATCAACAGGTATACTTCCTCCCACAAAATTATAATAAAATATGTATATATATATATATATATATATATGTTTAATTTTAAATAAAATAAGACTATATATATATCTATATATATAAAATTCTCGTGTCACAGTTTTCGTTCCCATACTCCTCCGAAACGGCTTGACCGATTCTCATGAAATTTTGTGAGCGTATTGAGTAGGTCTGAGAATCGGCCAACATCTATTTTTCATCCCCCTAAATGTTAGGGGTAGTCCACCCCTAAATTTTTTTTTATTTTAACGCAAAACAACGTTTGTCGGGACAGCTAGTATATATATAAATCCTGCATTTTTGAATTCCATTTAAAAATATTAATAATGATGACTTGTTGTCTCGCTAAGACAAGTATATCACCCCATCAAAGGGAGAATACTAAAATGTATATAGAATAATAATAAAAATAACAACTGTTACCCGTAACTCTAAATTATAATAATGAATAATTTGGAGAACATAAAATGAAGAAATAATACTTTTTTTTTTGATACTGCAATAAATAATTTAAATAATAATAATTCCCCTGGGCAATTCTCACAACGCCATCTAGTCCCAAGGTATGCATAGCTTATATTATATATTGTAATTAGTAATCAACTGATATATAAAAAATTTATAATATACATAGAAAACACCTAGACCGATACAAACAATCATACTCATGAATACAAATGTTTGTAACGTGCGAGAAATTGAACGCGACACGGGAAACCTCAGAATCGCCGTGGAACCATAGAAGCTTAAAAATAAATAAATATTTATTTCAGAATTTCACTATACGAACAAAGTCTGTACTGGACGGTGCTGTTCGCGCTGGTGGAACTCGGCCATCCAGATCTGATCAACTTGGCTGTGGATTTTGTGCTGAAACACCCCAGGCATTACTGTGCGGACCTCGTTGTTAAGGTGTGCCTACACTTGTAATATTTCTGTCAACACTCTACACCCTTCCATTAGTACCTCCCCTGATAACAGATTTAAGTTCAGTGTAAAGTCAGTCCACGTTACGACTCCGCGTCGAATGTACGCGTTACTAATAAGCCATGCAGCGTACTATACAATGGTAACATTATATAATGTAAGATTATCCTACTATATACTATATAGATTATACTAAAAAGAACGTGTATAAAATATATTTATATTATATAATTATATATATAGTTAATACCTGGATGCACTGCTTTATACACCTTAAAATACTCTTTACTTATTTTATTCTAAATTACTCCTAAGTACTTCTTTTAACTCTTGTCCCCACTTGAACTAACTTAACGCTCTCTCTCTGGGGGAAAAGGGTTTTTTTTTTACGGATGATAATGGGATGGTGCACCCGCCTGCGCTATCGGTTTACGCTGGCGGGGCACCAGTGGAAGATGATAAGATGAGAATGAGGTCATGTCAGTTAGCCCATCGCGACAAATTCACCAGGAATTTAACACGATGGTTTCCAGGGGGAACCGCGTGGAGGTCGACCTGACATGGTACATTGCTAGCAATGGGGTTATCAATCCACATTACTAACAATCCCCTTCCCCCCGGGAAAAGGGGGTTTGTTAGTCCATGGTCAGGTCGACCTCCACGCAATTCCCCCTGGAAACCACCGTGATCAATTCCTGATGAATTTGTCACGATGGGCTAACTGGCCGGACCTCATGTTCATCTTATCATCCTCCACTGGTGCCCCGCCAGCGTAAACCGTTAGCGCAGGCGGGAGCACCATTCCATTATCATCCACAAAAAAAAGGCTCTCTCTCTCTCTCTATGGCTCATGTCTCTCCCGTAACGCATCATTCTCTCTCATTCACACCATACTCCATTATATGCATATAACTTAATATTACATATGTATATTATTATCACAGGGCATATGTACGACGATTCGTCAACAAGTCCTACCTAAGGATCTGAAGAATACCATAATAGAGAAATTGTTGGACAACATGGAGAATTACTGCGAACACCACGCGGTGCAAGTACTGATGGTGCATTTGTTCTCAGGTGAGATTATAACAATGTGATTAGACAATGTACGCACTGCTACCAAAAAATTGTAGGGGAAGAAACTACGGTATGTTACAAAATGTAAGGGTGCCTGTGTCTGTATGCTCCTGAGGGTTTCTTGTACTCCTTAACACGGGCCAGCATCCAGGGGATATGTTTACTAGATTTCACTTAGCTTTTTCACTCGGTTTGTAATAAAATTTTATTATACTAGATGAAAACCCGGCTTCGCTCGGGTAGATATTTCTGTAGTCATCGGTTCTCAAAGAATATTAAGTAAGCAAGGCATAGATACGTAAAGCTTCGTTCATTGTGTTTAATAAATACTATAGGCAATAATAAGTGCAAAAGTATTTATACAAACGATTTCTATTTTAAATCAACATTCAAAATAAATTAACAAAACATATAACTTTTAAGGTTTATTCTCTGTTAACAGTTTGTTTGTTACTGTCATTAGAATTAAACGAAATACTCCATAATCCGAATTTTGCGGATATATCCGTTGTCGACTCGAAATCAATATTTTTTATGTTTTGTTATTCACTTAAAGTTTCGTTCGAGTCTACCGTACTCCTTGACGAAATTATTAATATAGATATGCGCGCGAGTTGAAGGCCGAGACGGTCCGTTCAGTCCCGTAAGGGGCGAAAGTGACGGGTGACACTAACTAACGGGCTCTAATATAATAATCAGTAATTTGTTTAAAATAATAAGAAATTTGTTTAATATAATAAGACATTTGTTTAAAATAATAAGAAATTTGTTTAAAATAATAAGAAATTTGTTTATAATAAATATTTTTCACAGCTGACAATAAACTACTGAGTCCTAAACTCACATCGGACGTATCAAACATGGACCCAGACGTACTAATGAGCTCTATGGAACGCATTACTCTCCTCTACAAGAGTCTACGTCAAGTCAAAAACAAGGAGAGCAAGACACTCATCACGTCAGCCATGAAGTACTTCCTGAGAGAGACTCTACCACCCGCGGCGACGTTGAGCAGAGTCGTAATAGAGTTTCTGGAGAGTTGCAAAGATGCTGAGAGGGTAAAGCTAGGTGTTATAAGTGATAGAGAGAGATGGATAGAGAGTGCTGTTTTGAATGCGCAGATCGTTTTTGAGGTTAGTTTTTTAAGTTCCTAGTAATTGGTAGTTTTATGTATGTTATTAACATGTTAAGAGACGGAAACCCCACCTAGGCGGCTCAGTACAGATTACTGCCAATAATATCTCTTGTCGAGCCCGTGTTAGGCCATGCCGTTCTCGTATCGGTTTATACAGCCACGAAAAGAGCTGTTCACGGACCATTTCGCTATAATTCGTCTATAACAGACGCATAGGCCCAATATATATATATATATTATATTAACATTTTAATGTAATCTAGGTTTTTACTCTTGAAAGTTAATAGAGAATTATAAAAAACGTTTACAATGTCGTACAAGCGGGCGAGCTGTCATAGTATGTTATAATAATAATCCTGGACAATTCACACAACGCCATCTAGTCTAAAACTAAGCAGAGCTTGTGTAATGAGTACTAGACAATATAAATTACGTACATAATATTAATATAATATTCAATCTCTAATACTTCCGCATATTGACTATGCCGACGTGTGTCTTACCAATCTTACCCAAGAACAGTTGAATAAGTTAGATCGTTTACTTAATAACTGTATCCGGTTCATCTTTGGACTACGTAAATATGACCACGTATCTAAATTTCGATCCCAATTAAAATGGTTAAATATTCGTAACCGCAGAAACTTGCGCATCCTATGTTCTCTCTTTACTATCATCTATGACACTTCCTCTCCCTTATATTTGAAAGACAAATTCCAGTTCATTAGTGACTCCCATGCTCTTAATCTTCGTTCGGTCCACACCCTTCTTCTCTCAACTCCTTCACACCATTCTGGATTTATGTCTAATTCATTCACTGTCACTGCTATTAGTCTTTGGAATAGATTGCCTGTAGCCCTGCGCAAAGCACAGAGTAAGCCTGTTTTCAAACGGAAAATTTTTGATTATCTCTTGAATGAACAAAACGGTTCTTAATTATCTATTGTTGTCATAATATATATGTAAATTTCTCTTTTTTTTTAATTTTATTGGTGTATAAAATTTTATTGGTGTATCATTATTATGTATATATTTATATTTATGTATGTATATTTGTAATTATTTTTAAGAAAACCTATTTACCTATGTTAGGTAAAATTATAGGTTAGTCCTTTCCCACCACTGCCCATCAACCGCTTTCTGTTCTTACCTAATGGTTAGCTGGTAGAGAATGCCATATGGCATTAAGCTCGCCAAATTGTACAATTTTTAAAAGTGCAATAAATAAAAGTAGAATAAATAAATAAAAAAAAATATACATAGAAAACACCCATAGTAGTACAAACATACATACTCAATAGTAGTAGTATAAACATATTATACTCAAAAATACAAATGTTTGTACCGTGCGAGGAATCGAACCAGCGACCATCGGAATTAGGACGGTGTTCTAAATCGCTAGACCACCGAGGCCGTCAATATATTTATGTTTTAAAAGCACATTTCTTGCTGCAGGTGTTTGAAACAGCAGTATCTCAAGACCAACTGCCGGTTCTAAGTGGTTGGATCTTCGAAGCGTTATGCCACTTACTGAACGAGAAAGTATCCGCTACTCTACTCCCCTATTGTGTTACAACATTACTGGTTTCAGCCAGTTCGAACCAGTTCATACGGAAAGTATCACCGCTATGTTATAGCCTGCTCAGATCTGGTTTCCACAAGGCGGTGGATAAAGAAATCGCTTGGGGTATATTCCGGAATTTCCTGACGAACAGTGAGGACACCGTGTCGTTTACGGATAGAAGGTTGATGTGCGTGGTGTCCACACATTCTGATTTCACCGCACCTCAATTGGAGAGATTGAAGGAGTTATGTGATAAGAATCAGTGCTTGGAAGATGTTTTGCATTGTCTAAACTTGTAGGTTTAGGACGCTTGGAAACGATTGACTAGTCAGTATTATAACTGATTACACTTAAAGACGTAGAATAGTAGGAATCGTGATTGTTTTATACCACAGTGGCAATGTACATGAACTGTGGTAAAAGTTATTGTTTGTTCATAAATCAAATACGATGCATCAAATGTTTCGTTAGTAATGTTTAGATTATCGACTTCAAAATTGAACCCTACCGCAAATTAATAAAGTAAAAAATGGATTGACTTGTACATAACACATAGCGCCATTTGCTTCCAAAATAAATAATACTATTTGTAATTTTTGTAAATAACATATTGCAGTTCTATATAAAAATATGTATTCGAGAATCCGAATATTTTATTGTCCGGGAATTGAACCCGTTTTTGTAGGAATAAAAGGGCGTATTTTAATATATTAGATTACCAAAGTGGTTGAAATAGTTGAGAAATAAATATAATTTGTTTTATGGTTAAAAAGAGACGGTAGTATATCTTCATGAATGAATTTGAATCTTATGCTACTGAGATTGGGTGGGTATAAGACTCCCTCCAGGTCTTTTGAATAAGGCCCTTATGCGCGATAAGTTCCAACAGACAGACACTGGTCATCCGGACAGCCTTAGGGGGTGAAGGTGAAGACCTAGAGGCGAACCCTTTTGCCTCGCCATTGACCCTGAAGACAACAGGCCCCAGGGTCAAAATCTCTTATCTTCTTATCTGCGAAGGAGGCAATTATTAGACTCGGACACTATAGTCCCATCTGTGAGAAATCCTGTAATAAAATAATAAATAAATAACCCTGGACAATTAACACAGCGTCATCTAGTCCCACGGTAACTTGTGTTATGGATACTAGACAACTGATATAAATACTTATATATATATTTTTAATACATACATAATATACATAGAAAACATCCTGACCGATAGAAACAATCATACTCATGAATACAAATGTTTGAACCCTCGACCATTGTAAGTCAAGCGGTGTGCTTAACCACTATGCCACCGAAGCTGTCAATTAGTCTCACAGATAGGGCATTAATGTCATTATAACACCGTTGTTGGGCGGGTTACTAGTCTAACTAAATGGTAGGGACATAACAAATTGATTAAAATAAATATACAACAATTATAATAAACTTATCTAACTTAAGAAGTCAGGTCAGACCCGGATGACTTATATAATAAAGCTTATTACTAGATGGCGCCACTAAAAATATTAGTAGTAGCAATGCGGTAGTTATTCCACAGATAGTAAAAAGTAGTTAAAAAAGTGCACAGCACGTGAAATATTTTTTGACATTTACATTAGAAGAAATTGTAACATAAGAAGCTGTCACTCTAGCGTCAGTGAAAATATTATATTTATTACAGAAATATGTAGAGTGGCTTTTAAATTAAATTTATATAAAGTCTTGTTTAGACCGATTTAGTAATTCGGTCGAGTGAATAATTTTATTAATATAGTTAGAAGGGTTTTAACACGAATAATTTTATGGTAAATAGAGGTATTTACGTTTCTCGACGTTTCGACTAGGCTGCACTAGCCGTGGTCACCACTTTAACTATATTAATAATGTATACTGTATGTTTAATGTGTCTTGAAATGAATAAATTTTTGCCCTTCTACAATCAACCTCGAAATTTTAATAACAATATTATTTGGCAAAACAATTGCCGGGTCAGCTAGTATACCTCGATATAAATATACCTCGATTCACATATGTCCTAATTTATTTAGTAAATCACTCGCTAATCAACTAAATCAGTTTAAACCACACTTCATAATGTTATCTCAATTCGTGATTGTCTCCATTACTGTAAATAACTTCACATTAAGGTACAAAAATAGTTAAAGAGCTAAACTAGTAAGTAGATTGTCATTGAGATTTAAATATTTTATGATCGCCATCGAATGATGTTGTGCTTTATCACACTTGTAATAAACTATAATTTTGTGTAGCAATAATAATGCATTGTTCTTAATACATGGAGCTCCTGAATGTTTTTTTTTTTAAACATGTGTAATATTAACTAGCAACAATTTACGAGTTCTATTGTCAATGGTTAATACAACATGAACGATTTGATGAACGCCCCAAGGTACAAAATCCTACACTAGTTATATTAAAAAAAAATTCTCTATTTGTAAATTGGGTACTAATTATAGTTATGGTGCTTCGAATAAATCTCATTTTTTTTATCAGCGTCGATTTTATTGATAGTATTAGGCGCTTGTCTGACTGGGTCGCTGCTTTTTAGTTTCGTAAAGAATCTACAGCGAAATAGTTTAGTCTGCTGTCTTTAAACGAGGCATCATCAGGCATAGAATGAGTTCGGATATAGCTTGGAAGCCTAGCGTTGCGTGTTTTCCAAACTGGGATTACCGATCGAATACTACAGTTTAGAATTACATACTGTTTTAAAATTGACGCGGTCATTATTTATACGTATAATTAGTAAATCACGGTATCTTACCACGTTTTACTACACATTAAACAGTAACACAAAACGCGATCTGAAATTTATTAAACATACGTGAAGATCCTGTGAGTATAGTTTGCCGAGATGAATATCGAGCGAGTTTCAATAGTAGCAACTAACGAAGACATGTGAAGATAGACGAATATGTATGCCTGTAAAAGATTTATTTACCACCTACCCGCTGTTCTACAGTTTACCCGTGATCATGGTTGAAACACTGCCGAAATATTGGGAATTCAATATAAAACGTGGTAAGATCCCGTGATTTACTAATGACACGTATAGTTTACAATTAGTCTTCCGTGTTAATGCTTCTTTTTGCCTACCTAACTGTAGGTAGGTAAGAAAGACGCTCCAATCATGTAAGTATTATACAATTAATTTATACCTAATCATTCAAATAGAATTTATTATAAAAATTAAAAAAATTGATACAGTACTTTTTAATTTACGTAATAACAACTTTATGGCCAGAGCATAAAGTTGATAATACGTTGTCTATGCATAAAAACTGGTTATGGATTTCGATTACCTACCATTACTAGTATATTCACTGCCGAAGCCTTGGCTATTTTGCAAGCTTTGCATTATATTAACGAAGACATATGCGCTAAACCTCATAATCAGTGGCTTATCATTAGTGACAGCATGTCAGTCTTATCAGCGTTGCAAAATCATTCATTTAGTGCCAAAACAAGCTATATTATTTACCAAATTAAAGAACTATGGACTGTTTTGTTTAATAAAGGAAAAGAAATTATATTTACTTGGATACCGGCACACAAAGGTGTGACAGGTAATGAAGAAGTAGATTACCTTGTCAAAACTGTCAATAGATTGGGTGGCGAGTCTAAAAAAATTTTCTTACCTTGGCAAGATTTAATTCCTGAAATTAGGAAAAACTTATTAAAAAATTGGGAAGAAGATTGGAAACATACTACCAAAGATAAAGGTACTTGGTATGCAGGTATAAATAGTACTATTGGCAAAAAACCCTGGTTTATTCAGGGAAAAATATTTTTAGAGAGAAGATTTTATACTCAAATTTGTCGACTGCGATTTGGACATTGTAAATTCAATGCACATTTACACCGAATGAAGATCATTAATTCTCCGATTTGTCTTTTATGCTCTAGTAACGAAAATCAAACATTAGAACATATATTTTTTTATTGCCCGGCCTTCAATTTAAACAGAATTTTGCTCATTGCCAAGCTTCAAGAACTATATAAGATTATTCCGCCATCGCTTCAAGAACTATTCAAATGCACTGCAACTTTTAAACCAATTTACGACTTTATCATAGCAACTATCGGAGAATTATAAACATTTCAATTATGGACACATACAAGGACTTAACACAAACTTATAATTAATGAAAAGATTTGGCGATATCGCCTTGAAGAATTTTTGAATTTCATGGAAATACTACTGAAGATTAGGCTGTATGGTCTCGTACCTTTGCCTATCCACTTGTGGATAAAATATACCACTACTACTATACGTTGTCTATGTTTAATAAAGTACAGTACTGTAATATGTCTGCTTATTTTGTTATTATTAATAGTTTTAATGTAAATATTTATGTGCTTTCTACTTTGACAACGTTGTACCATGTGCACTGTAGAATGGTGCAGGGTGACAGTTTCATTAATGTTTCTGTCTTCGCTAACACATCGGAGTTTCAAATGAAACCCAAATTTACTTTTAATATTGAATTTTAATAATTAGTTTTAACAATTTTGAGGAGACCGAATGATTTTTGTAGACGAAGAAAAAGTGAGAGAATACAAAATAACGCAGGTACATCGAAAACAAATCCAATACGCCTGTGAACATTTAAATAGCAACTTTTTGCAGTTAAAATATATTGCGTTCAAGAGTGTTGAAGGAGTGCCGGAACATCTTCCCGCCACCTTGAAAGGCTTCTTTCAATATTTGAAATCCTCTTCATTTGGTAGAGGACAAACTCGAACTAGAGGGCGTCGTAGACATCCTCCTGCAGTTTTGACATCAGCTACACGCGAAATGCCGTCTGGTCCAGGGAATAAACGTAATACTCGTCCCAGTTTCCAACACAAAGGAGGTAAGTAATCTTCTTGAATAACTACTAAGTCTCCAATTTTCAATTTTGCAGTATTGGTCTTCCATTTTGTTCTTTGCTGCAGCTCCGATATATATTCTTTCTGCCATCTGTTCCAAAAATGCTGACGTAATTTCTCAATTCTTTGGTATCTTTGCAAATTGTTTTCTTTGTAGTCTTGTAGATTGGGGGAAGGCAGTGCACGCAACGGTCTTCCAATGAGAAAGTGCCCTGGAGTGAGACAAAGGAAATCATCGGGAGAGGACGATAGAGGATATAGGGGACGGCTGTTCAAAATCGCCTCTACTTGAGAAAATAAAGTTAAAATCTCTTCGAAAGTTAGGTGACTATTTCCGATCACGCGTCTTATGTAATATTTAGAATTCTTTACGCCGGCTTCCCAGAGCCCGCCAAAGTGAGGAGAATAAGGTGGTGTGAATTTAAATTGAATTTGCTCTTGATTGGCAAAATGACGTAAAGAATCTTCATCTTTAAAAAGTTATTTATTTCTTTAGCGGCAGCAACGAAATTACGACCGTTGTCACAGAAGATCTCTGCTGGCTTTCCTCGACGCGCTATAAATCGTCGAAGTGTCATAAGGAATGCATCTTTTGACAAGTCACTGACTCCTTCTAAATGGATACATTTGTATCGTAAACAAATAAACAAGCATAAATAGCACTTGATAAGTTTATTACCCCGACCTTTACGATTAATTATGTAAAATGGACCGGCAAAATCTATACCGACCGACAGAAAGGGAAAATTTGGTGTTACCCTTTGTAGTGGTAACTCGCCCATTTTAGGATGGAGAGTAG